TGCCACTATCTACCAGGATCCTGTGCACATGAAAGTTGGCCACCGTCATGGTGAGCACCAAGGGGTCATCATGGGGGTGTTGGATTTCCTCCAGGTCCTTGTTTGAAAAAGATATGACCTCGTCGCTTTCCTGCTTCGGCACCTTAGATGGGCGCATCTCGTAGACATGTCTTGCCTTCCTGGCATGGGCCTTCATCGCGAAAAGTGATTCTCCTCCACCTGCTAGTCCCCCTGAGATAGTGTGGATTTCCCCCACAGGCTGCTGATCTTCCTGGTTGTGAGGTTGTGGTACACGTTCCCTTCCAGCAACGTACTGACGCAAGTGACCACGCTGGATGAGCTCCTCAATTTGCCTCTTGAGGTCGTAGCAATCGTCGGTGTCATGCCCGTGGTCACGATGGAAGCGGCAATACTTGTTAGGATTTCTGCGATTTGGAGGAGACTTCATTTTTCCAGGCCACTTTATCGCGGGGTCATCCTGGATCTGGAATAGGATGTGTTCCACGGAAGCATTGAGGGGAGTGAAGGGTTGACGGTTCCTCTGAGGAGCAGGACCTAGCCGGTCCTTGACAGGGACTTTCTCTGTCCTGCCATATTTGTTGCTGGTTTCCTTCTTATCGTCCTTCTCTCTTTCCTTCCTTTTCTCACCTGCTCTGGAAGACTCACCCCGCCTGGCCCTTGTGATGTCTTCTGCGTTTATGTACTTTTGGGCCTTGGCTAGCAGCTCTGGCATGCTCTTCGGTGGGCGCTTCAGAACTGAGAAAAGGAAACTTGATGAACGGAGGCCACCCAAGAAGGCGGTCATCGTCACCTTGTCGTCAGGTTCATCAACTTGGAGTACCTCCTCGTTAAAACGAGTGAGGTAACTCCTCAGGCTCTCCTCGCGGTCCTGCTTTATACTAAGCAGGTGCGTAACTGGCTTCTGGTGGCGACGCCCTCCTATGAAGTGTGAGACGAATGATCTGCTAAGCTCGGCGAAAGAGGAAATAGAGGCGGGGGAGAGCTTAGCAAACCACTGTCGGGCAGACCCCTTTAATGTGGTTGGGAATGCCCTGCACATGATTTCGTCTGGTACGTTGTGCAATTGCATCAAGGTCTTGTAAGTGTCGAGGTGGTCCAGTGGATCCTTTGTTCCATCAAAGGTCTCCACAGATGGCATTTTGAACTTCTGAGGGAGGGGGTAGTTTGCTACATCAGATTTGAAAGGGGTATCAGTACGCCTTACCAGGTGGTCAACAGTCTCGGGTCCCTGTGCCTTCATGGCGTTGAAGACATCACCGAGTTGATTTTGTACCTCCTTTATCTTCTCGTCCCAATGATTGGGGGCTCCTCTGGAATGATCATGGAAGTGGCTTCCATGCCCCATGCTTTGGTTTTCACCCTCATCCTCCTGGAGATAAGGGTCCTCTCCCTGGAAAGCAAGGGGAGGGGGAGGTGCAGCTCCCTCATGTTGGGCTTCCCGAAGTGGGGTGCCCAATGGGGCACCCGGGCGTGGAGCAACAGGGCGTGGTGCTCCTTGATGTCCAGGATGTGGAGCTCCTTGGGGTGCTCTATGTTGTGCACCTCCGTGGGGCCCTCCATGTTGTGCACCTCCATGTGGTGCTCCACGTTGTGCACCTCCGTGTGGTGCTCCACCTTGGGGTCCTCCATGTTGTGCACCTCCTTGTGGTGCTCCACCTTGGGGTCCTTCATGTTGTGCACCTCCTTGTCTAGCAAGTATGAGTTGCAGTAACTGTTGGTTTTGAGCAACCAGTTGCTGCATGGTCTCCAATATTTGTTGGGGATTCGGGGCTAGAATATCCGGAACAGGGTTGATAGGCGGGGAGCAACCTCCTCCTCTCGTGGAGGATTGTCTTCGTGTTGGTTCATGGATCGAGTAGTGATCGCCATTAGTTAATGGACGTAATGTTCAGGAGTGAGAATTTTGTCGTTTCCCACAGACGGCGCCAAACTGATGATGCACAAAAATGGTTTTGCACACCACCTGTCAAGTGTAGATAATAAATGCAATGAAATCAATGAAAAAATTAAAGAAGACACAATTTATAGTGGTTCGGTCAATTCGACCTACGTCCACTCTTCAATGGCTTCAGTTGCCGGGTATTTTATTGATTCAAAGGTATGGAGAATGGAGATACAAGCTTTGAGAGAGAGAATGGAGAATCAAAGAAAAATAGTAATCTCCGGTAGTCGGTTCGTCCTCTGTAAGTCTCTGGTGGGATGTGTTTTTCCTCTCTGCAGATTAGAGCCATTTTATAGTAGCTAAGAGATCATTCTTGTGGAGATCATGACATATCCTCAAGGCTTCTTTATCGCAGCTCAGAGATTATCCTTGGTGGAGATCACGACTTATCCTCAACGAAAGGAGGAGGTTGGGGACTCCTCATGAAAGGCGGTCAAAGATTGGACCGTTTCCTTCGGTGGTGCAGATAAGCTTCCTGTGCTCTCCTCTTGGTGACGTGCTAAGCAAGAAGTCTAACCGGCCTTGGACTGTCTTGGACTTGGTGGATTTGGGCCGTTTCCTTTGGTGGTGCAGATAAGCTTCCCGTGCTCTCCTCTTGGTGACGTGCTAAGCAAGAAGTCTAAACGGCCTTGGACTGTCTTGGACTTGGTGGATTCACAATGAGGTTGGGCTCCTCAACTGGGGTTGGACTTTAACACATAAATTGGGCTATTTGGGCTTAACTCATCAGTAACAACAAAAAGATTATCCAAAAGCTGGACAAGGACCTAGTCCATATTCAGATGTTGGAGCCCCTAAAGGAAAATCTAATTTTGGAAGCAGAGTTTGTGTTCTCAGATTGAGAAGCATTGGCTACAACGCTCTAGGATCAACTAGCTGAAAGAGGGGGACCGGAACACAAGATTTTTTCATCTGACTACCATCCAAAGACAAAACCGAAACTAGATCCAGAAACTTAAGACTGAGGAGGTTGAGTGGATTGAAGGGGAGGAGGAGATCAACTCCCATATCATTGAGTATTTCCAGAATTCGTTCAGAAATGTGGGGGTAAAAGATTGGAGTGAAGCTCTGAGTGCGATGTAGAGAAGGGTTACAGATGAGATGAGCTGTGAATTATTAAGACCCATTACAAAGTCAGAGGTGCAGAGTGTTGTGCATGATTTGCGAGCCCTCAAGGCTCTTGGCACTGCAATAAAAAGTTTTTTTGCGATGTTTTTTTATGCGATAATTTTAAATTTGTCGCAAAAAATTTATTATATTTTTTAATTTTGTCGCAAATTTCTATATTGTCAATTTTTTTTTTTGACGCGAAAAGATGATTCTCTCTTAATTGTTTTTGGCGGGAAAAATGGCGGGAATTGACAATTTTTTACGACAAAAATTGTTCGTCTCAAATAGTTTTATCTAGTCGCAAAAATAAATAATCTAATATTTAAAATAAAATAAATTATAAATTTCTATGTTGGCATTTTTTTGCGACGTTATTTTTCAAAACGTCGCGAAAAGGCAATTCACTCCTAATTGTTTTTAGAGGAAGAAATTGTGGGAATTTGCAAATTAAATAAAAAATAATAATTTAATTAAAATTTTTACGTATTTTAAAAAATAATAAATTTTTACGTATATAAAATTTTTAAAAATAATAATTTAATTAATTTGTCGCGACGTTTTTTAAAAAACGTCACAAATAAATTTTTACGTAAATTAAAAATTTTAAAAATAATAATTTAATTAATTTTTTCGCAATATAATTTTCTAAGAATTTTTATGGCGACGTTAAATTTTTCTACACAGATTATTGTAAAAATAAAATAAAATATTAATTCGCGACGTATTTTTTTGTCACAATTTTTAAAAACCCAAAACGACGTCGTTTTGGGTGTTTTGAGCTCTTCCCACATAAAACCCTTCCTCAGATTCCCCAGCCTTTCTGATCGTCAGCCCCCTCTCTCTCTGTCTCTCTCTCTCAATCCGAACCAAAGACAGCTACCACCTCCGGCACCATCAACACCTCACCCCCACCTCACACACAGATTAAAGCGAGCGCTAGTTCTGCTAGTTCCTTGCCATTAACGAATGAGTCGAACTTTGGATTCCACTGCGAGCTTGAATCGGCATTGTGGAGAAGCAGTAACCCCATCTTTAATTGGTGATCTTTGAATTCCAGAGTGAGAGCTTGAATAAAGTTTCAATCTCTCTTCTCTCGATTTTCGAAACCCCCCTCCCAACCCCAATATCTCTTTGCTTGCCATTGTACGGTTCCAAAAAGTAATTCCCTTCCCACACAAAATCACCAATCGCTCTCACTGCATGCACTGATGTAGAGTCTAAAACTCATTTTCTGTATCTTCCACTCTCTTTCTCTCTCTCTCTCTCACACACACACACACACACACTCTCTCTCTCTCTCTCTCGTCACTCCAACGGTCCGAAGAAACCCGAATAGTGTGAAGATGAAACCCCTCTCTTTCTCAACTATCAGCTAAGGTAATAGTTTCTACATCTTCCTATCACTATCAATTCACTGCAGGTATGATATTTTTTCACAAGTTGTTTTTTTTTTGTGTGTGTGTGTGCCTATTGACATTGGTGTGTGTTTTTAAGTACACAAACATATATGCAAGCATAAACCCACACACGCATGTGTTCTATATGTATATAAGTATAAACATAATCTGCTGGGTGGTAGTGTCCGTACTGGGTAGTAATGTCTGTTTTTTTTCCCTAAATTGTGGTTGTCTTAGCTAAAGTAATCTCTCGACTTTTATATTGTGGATATTCCTTTCTGAAACTAGGGTTTAGAACGCGGGTCTGTTTGATTGTAGGTGGATTTGGTGTATTTGCATGGTGGTTTTGTATATGATTTCAATTTGGCGATTCTAGTCCTTTGGTCAACATGGGGTATGTCTGGTTGCTGAGAAAATGTCAGTAAGGAAAGGAAAGGGAAATTGGGATTTTGCAATGCGGGTTTGTATAATTTTAAGTAGGTTTTGTGTAAAATTCACAATATTGGGGATACTTGAACTTTGAACAACATATGGTCTGCTTGGTTATTGTGATTCTTTTTGCTAGTGTGCATCATCCAATAGTGACTGCCCTATCAGCCATGCTAGTCAACTCTCAAATCCCTTTCTTGGTCTGCCCCCTTGAATCTGGTAAATGTGAATCTTGTGGTACTGCTGAACCTGGGCAGTGTGAAGGTATGTAGGATATTCCTTTTTTTGGCTTTGTAATTTTTGTAGAAACTCTATTTTACTTATCAATTTTTTTTTGGTGGACAGTGACCAAGTTTTCACTGTCAAAAAACTTTAAGCTAATTATCTTACCTTTTTTATGCAATCACAAAAATACAGCTGAAGTTCTTCTCTGTTTCTCATTTCAGGTCATTTTGGATATATTGAACTACCAATCCCAGTATACCATCCGGATCATGATAATGAACTAAAACGGATATTAAGCTTGTTGTGCTTGAAGATGAAGAAGAGGATGGTACTATGTCTGAATGGGCTTGGATATATTGAACTACCAATCCAAGTATACCATCCGGATCATGATAGTGAACTGAAATGGGCTTGCTCTATTTTGAGATCAGCATAAAAAAAGTTATTTTTTACACTGGTAAAATGATTTTAATTTATGTAATGTGCATTTGTCCTTTTTGTGAGAAAATACTCCTTCATTTTCTAATCGAGTGGAGCTTATAAGTGTGTTATGTCCTGTGTTTAGATGACAGGAGTAGGCTGGATTGGAGACATACCCATTGAGAAAGGGGAGAGATTGAGATTCAAAACTTTTGCTCATTTCCACTGGAAGGGTATTCTTTTGCCTTAGATGGGTCATCTATTGCCTTAGCTTAAAAAACTCTTCCACCATGGAAACACTTTTACTGTTGTTTGCTTCCTGTTTGAAATATCTTTGTTACCAGATGATGTGCTGACCAGTGTGAATGATGAACTCTGAATTATCTATGAAAAGCATTTACCATGGTTAAATATCATCTGCAGGTCAACCAGAAAGGTTCAGAATCTTTGGCTGATCCAGAAGAGTATCCTAATTTGTTCGAGGACTGGCAAGTCACACTTGCAGTCGAATCAAAAGTTGTAGAGACAAGGTTCCATTTAGCGACCTACTACTACCTTTCCTTTTCTTTTCTTTTCTTTTTTTTTTGTGATATTGTTACTGTTTGATTAACCTGCCTAGTCATGTATATGTGTGATATCTCCAATTTAGTTCATCAACTTAGTGTTAATATCGGTGCTCCCCCCCCCCCCCCCCCAACCCCCCACCCAAAAAAAACACAAAAGAAAACAATAAAAAAAAGAAATGAAAAAATATATCCAAACTTCATTTTGTGTTACTTTTTTATGCTGATGGGCAATGCCTCCAATATGTGTCTACTTTTGGGGAGTTTTTGAAGCATGGTCAGCCATTGGTGTATCATATTCAATGATAGTCGCCTTAATTTATGAGTTAGGAGCTGTACGCATAGCAAGAGGCTGGTGTCACGGTACGCCTACAAACTGTTTGATATAGTTTTTCAATTCCTTGACATAACTTGTTCTTTTAATTATTATTCTGTGTTCAATTAACGTCAAATTTTCAAATAATTGCAGTGCCAAAGCAGTTGAATGCTCCGCTTGAGGTTGTCGATTCGGAGATTGCTAATATTATCGAGCTCGAGAAAGCGAGACAATGGAAGGTACTCATACTCTGTGTATACATGTTTGAGAGAGAGAGAGAGAGTGTGTGTGTGTGCGAACGTGTGAACGCCAACTGGATGTATAAAGGGAGAATTAAATGTTCCTTTTCTGTTCCTGCAATTTCTAAGTAACCAAAGGAAATTTCTATTTAGAATTCCTGTTCAGCATGATTGTGAAATTGCATTTGAACCTGGAACTTATCATGTTTTCTGGAATTTTTATGCCGTGTTTGTATAGGGACTTGAGCTCTTTCCCTCGGAGAATTTTACATCTGTTTTTGTGATGCAAGCAGTTGGGTCTGTAATGACTAACAAATACAGTGAAGGATATCCCGGTGCAAGATACTATGGTGGAAACGAGTATCTATGTGCTTTTTTTTTTCTTTCTTTCTTGTTTTTCTTAATAATTATACTTGCTAATATCAGTTAGCATTAGCATGTGCACACCGCTTCTTTTTTTGGTTGATTTCCTTTTCATTAGTGTGTTTACGCATAGTTCATCCCATTTTCACCGTGTAGTCTTTATTGACTTTCTGCTGTCAGGTACATTGACATAGCAGAATCCTTGTGCCAGAAACGTGCTTTGGAAGCGTTTCGGTTGGATCCTGCAATGTGGGAAGGTAATTGCATTTTTATCTATCTATATATCTATCTATCTACATATGGCAAGGTTTTATCAGTAATCTTGTGGTATACGTTGTAACTTGTAACATTTGCTCAAAAAATTTATTTTTTTCGTTGGATTCATTGCTGTTTTTTTATATTTCGAAACGCATCTGTATATGAAAATTAAAAAATACAAAATAATATTTCCTTTGGATTTTGGCATACTAAATGTAGTCTCATATTTCCTTTATTTGGACAGACCGACACAAAGAAGATATCAGCGGTCTCTATACTTTTTGAGACCATGCCATATAGATTGAATGAGAGCACTGGCTATATTGATTATGACCAGGTAGCTTTCTGCTTTTTATCATGCTTCGTTCTGTTTCATTGCTGTGCTATTTTCTGGGTCACGTTATAAAGATATTGTGAGGACTTACAATCTGCTGCTGTGTGCACTGCAATTATCATATGCCAACATCAATTTGTGCTTGAACTAGGTGTCTCTACCTGTTTGTTGAATTTCCTGATTGAATTGTTTGGTTATTTCCCCAGATAATGTATGTAGAACATCGTCCCTGGTCATTTAGCTATTTGAAAAAGGATAAATATGCCTGTTTTGGCTTTGATTCCTTTGTTATTTGGCTGGACCAAAGTTATGATCCCTACAGATAAAGTGGGAGAAGTGAGATTATTGATTTGTTCATGTGTTTGTCATCCCGTTTCCTTCACGAATCATTAGAAACTCGATAACCCGTAATGGTCCTCCTCAAATTCCACTTCCTTTAATATGGTTGCCCTAATAGTTTTAGTATTAAAGAAAAATCTGACTCTTGGCAATGGTCTTGTGTTGGATATTATTTAATTCATGGCAAAGGAAAAACTAGGAATCCCTTTTTCTTTTTCAATCTTTCAAAAATGTAATAACTATGATTTGTTGTGGGTAAACTCTTATTTTCCAACTCTGCGGGAAAAAGCACCATGAATCTCAATACAGGGAAGGTGGACAGGGTTACATGGCGTAATTAGAGAGTTGATATAGTTTTGAGCTTCTACCTGTGAGAAGCATATTTTTTTTTTTTTTTTTATCTTGGGAGTCAAATTCTGCTTAAAACAAGCTAGGCTCATCACTGGTCCAATTCCATGCCTCTTTTCTCAATCCGAAACAAGTAAGTCATGTAATTAATATAAGCTTGTGAGATGGCATATTCTTTGAAGCTATGCATAGAGTACTTGATTCATCTAAAGTTACAACTTTCATCTGATAATCTGTTTGCCATGCCGTGACATATTTAAGTTGCTGTCACGGTTGATAAAGCATTGTAGCATCTTTCTCCCATGGTTAAAATCAAGCTTGTCAAAATTAGTACTAATGTAGCTGCAACTTGGATGCTGGTCTCTTTTTAGCATTGGTGGTGCCCTCTGCAACAGAGCTGTTTAGGTCTAAAATATTATGTAAGGAATTTCTGGTGGAAAGGGAGCGAGGACAAAAGAGGAATATGTTGGAGAAGATGGGACAAAATGGTGGAAGCTAAAAACATTGGAGGAATGGGGTTCAAGGATTTTAAATTACTCAACCAAGCTCTACTGGCAAAGCAATGTTAGAGGCTAATCCACTAACCTGACTCCTTTTAGGCTAAGTTTATGATAGCAATTTACTACCCTGATGATGATTTTATGAAGGCGAAGCGAGGTACCAGATCATCTTGGGTCTGGAACAGCTAACTCCATGGCAGAGAGCTGCTAGAGAAAGGTCTAATGTGGCATGTGGGTGATGGCAGAGATATAAGCTTCTGGGACGATAAATAGGTTCCTTTTCTTCCCAATTTGATGGTCACTTCCCCAAACAACAGGATTGTCAGTTCACTAAGGCTGCAGACTTTATTATGGAAAACCGAGAGGATGGAACTCCCCCATTTTGCACAGTGCGATCTTAGGGGAAGAGGTGTCTGCTATACAAACCATTCTGCTTGCATTTAGAGGAGGGAAAGACAAGAGGATATGGTGGCCTAACAGTAAAGGCGTATACACAGTCAAGTCAGGGTATAGATTGGGAATCAGGTTGGCTCTGCAACAGATTGAGGGCAGCTCCTCCTTTTCTCCTCATCCTAAATTGTGGCAATCCGTTTGGAGTATGAAAGTGGTTCCAAAAATCAAACATTTATGGTGGAAAGCCTGTCTAAATATCCTTGCCACAAGGGAGAACCTGTTTAGAAGAAAGTGTGCCTCTTCTCCTCTTTGTCAGATTTGCTGGATGGCTCCAGAATCAATTGAGCACATTCTGTTCGAGTGCGAGTAGACAAGAAGAGTCTGGTTTGGCATGGATCTCAAATTTCAAGGGGATCAATCTTCCTTTATGTCTGTGGACCAAAGATTCTCATTGCTTATTCACATGGTGATCGTGGTGCAGGACATACTTGGTTTGGTGGGGAAAATGGCTTTTGTAGCGTGGGTAATTTGGAACGCTAGAAACCAATTGTTTTCAACAAGGAAGATGTTAACGCCTTTGCCACTGTCATTCGTGCACAAGCTCTGTGGAAAACCAGCTCGGTATTGATGTTGTTAATTCACCGAAGGAACAGAAGGACTCCCCAACGTTGAGGCATGAGAGCCAACTAGCAACTACTTCCAATTTTTGCATCTTCTGTGATGGCGCCCTCAGGTCTGCTTCTACTAAGGGTGCTTGTGGAGTGGTGGTCTGCAAAGAGAGGGGTGTGCTTGAGCTGGGTTTTGCTAAATCTTTCCCAGCTAGGTCCAGTCTTTGCTCTGAAGCAGAGGCAGCGAGGCAAGCTTGCCTTCTTGCTGAAGCCCATTTGATCACAAACGCCCCCATCATAAGTGACTGCCTTAATATAATCAAGCTCAGCTCCCCCATGGGAAATTAGTGTCATTGTTGAAAACATTAGAATTTATGTTAGGTTATACAACCTTAACTTTGTACACAAGCCTAGAGCCTACACAAAGGCCGCTCATTGGGTTGCAACCTCTTTACTAAGTAATTCGCTCCACTCGAGTTCATGAACTTTTGATTTGGGTACGCGATTACGTATGTGCTTCAACATCAATATAAACAAATCCAACAAAGCTAATCAGTTTTTCCCGATCAGTCTAAATAATATATTTTTTTATGTCAAAGTTATATAAAATAAAGATAAGGTTACAATTTAAATAAATGAAATGTTATAACAAAATGGAGTTGTTTTGGGTTGATATTTTCATTTAAGGATTGATTTTATTTTGTTGGAACTCAACTTATTAAATTATAATTACTCCTAATTTTTCATGTAAATTTTGGCACGTTAGCTCCTTGGGTAAGATATTCTTACCACGATGCATGTCTGTCTATAAATATGTTTATGCAGTTGAGTTGTTATGATATAAAATTCTCAACTAGCCACCTTCTTCCCTTGGCTTCCAGATCGTGCTTTCCAATAATCAAATGTCTTTGAATCACCAAATTTCCGTAAAACCATCTTCTTCTGAACCCACAGGTAGCGGGTTGAGGAAGGTGCTGCAAATCTTTTCGAGTTTAAAGGTTGGAAAACAAATTGAGAAATCAGGTTATTAAAAACTTGTGTGCTTTTAGTAAACGTATTACAAAGTCAGTCTGTTTTCTTACCATGTTAGCATTGGTCATTTGTATCAGGATTTCGTTTAAGTTTATTCATTTGTGAAATGAATAGATCGCGAGTTCAAAATTATTTGTGGAGCTCATTTTATAAATGAGCCGAGTTTACATAATGCTTTTCTTTGCTCGTTAGACTCATGACAATATAATTTATATAATTAGTTTGTAGACATCGGTATATGTGACACAAGTTTGGACTCGAGTTTTTTTTTTAACTAATACCTCAACGATACGAGGATAAATTTTATTTCAAAAATTACACCTAACTAGGGAGACATAAACTAGTGAACAGTCGACCCTGAATGCGTGTCTTGCAGTAATGATGGAGGTCCCGGAGGACGCATTACCCAACTATTTATCGACTATGAAAAAAGCAAACGAGAGAAAGGATTTTGACCTGCTCATCAAGCCCGAAGATAGCCGATATTTTCCGACTCTATTCGCAATTGCTTCCGAAATAGCATATGAGAGAAAACCGTTCATAGAAGATGTTGTTCAAAAACAGTGGAAGGTATGTAGAATCATATACAATGTAGATTTTGCCCCCATTTCAGTACAATTACATCTCATTTGACCAAATATTGAACTCATACAATCTAAAATATAAATGAGATTTTATATATTTTCCCTAATATTCCATATTTATTGTAATTATTTTTTCCTCGCTTGTAGATGAAGCTATTGGAAGCGAAAGATTTTTGGAATGGTAAGGAAGAACACATTTTTTTGGTCCTACTACAATTCAGACAGTACTATTTGAGTTTATGATCATTCAATGGTCCTGTTTGGAGTTTAATGCCGTTTTAGAATAATTTTTAATTTATTTCTCAATGTGTACTTGTTTACATTAAAAGTTTGTTCACTAAATATGAATCTATATATTTAATATTCGAAACATTTTTCACAAATACCATTTTGCACCAACACACATGAATAAAAACTAGAAAATTCAGAAATAAGGAAAAATAAAAATTATTTTAAAAAAAATGACAGTAATGTTGGAATAAATTAAAGCTTTTTAAAACTTTCTAATTATTTTATTTCAGTTACAACCGTTATAATTGGATACTTGAATGGCAGATTCAATTTTGCCATATCTTAGTTTTAATGGACCGGCTGTTACAAGGAAAAAAAGTTATATAAAGAAGCCATCAGAGGCTGCCCAAGTGAGTTGTCGGCGGGGATCAGCCATATTCCCCAAGCCTTTATCTCAATTAGTCCTTTGCCTCCTTTGCTATATGTTCCATCAATTTATCATTTTATTTGATTTTCTTTTACAATCTCCTTCTTCTCAATATTTTGAATAGCATAGTATTTTTACTATCATGATTTTATGGGCAACTTCGATTCGAGTCAGGTTCATCTTAACCTTTCAATAGATGTGACCCTTGAGAAGGTGCTACTATGAGTAAATTTGGGTTTGATCTTGGAGCTAAGTATGTTCGTTAATACCTTCGAGTAGAAAGACATAGTTGCTTTAGGACAATGATTACATGCCTCTCAGATATCACAAGACGGCTCTTCTAATTTATTACTATCCTAATCACATGCTATAGTATCATATATATTTGATTTGCATTCTGGTTGTTTTATGATTTTATAAATGACTTGTTAATTAATATTCATAAAATTGTGCTATTTTCCCCGACAATCTAAAAGCAACTATGTACGAGGAGAATGAAACAGTATCAAGAAATATATAAATGATGTATATCTCATGATATGTTTTTGTTTCACTGATTAGAAGCTTAGCTTCTTCTAATAGTCCCTAGATAAAGAGATCTCAAATGATAGTCACGTAAGGTGACACGTTTCTTTGTGTCACATTATCCCTGGTATCCCCTCTTGTTCCATTTTGGCCTTGGGATAAACATGAGTAATGATAGAGACATATAACCTGCCAGGACAAGAGTCTGATTCACATAACCAAAACAACTTAATGATACAGTGAAATAATTTTAATTTTTTGACATTCTTAGCCTGGCAAAGCCAGGCTACTTAAGTTTAGGTTCCTATGTCAAAATAAATTAGACAAATAGATACTTAAATTTCTATGAAACAAAACGAGTGTAGACATAAGAAAATATGAGGCTATTGCATGAGCATATATGTATGTGATAACTAGTTAGAGGGATTTGACGCAATTTGTGATCATTCAATACTATTAGCATTTATATGCCAACTTTTGACCAGGTTGGCACCAAAATCATCTATTTGTTCAGCTATATATTTGGCATTTTATTTTCACATATGTCTAGTATGTGATTGGTCATTAGTGTTTGGTGATATTTGCCACTGATTGTACACTGACATCTTAGAGTTAACGTTATTGAGTCATTCCTGTGAGGAGCTTCTCATAGGTATGGATTTTAATACTTGCAACACAATGACTTTTGGTGCGAATGATTGGGCTGGAATGGGGATGTTGGTATAGTTTGGTCTAATACAAAGGTTTTTCATTTATATTTTATTGATAGGTTGGTTAGAAAGAACACTTTTATTGAAAAAGAGTAAACCAATAGTCTAACAAATGAACAAGGGGTGAGCTTTAACAAAATTATTATTATTATTATATCTTAGACCAATTAGTGTAAATCCATTATTTTGCCATAGAATGTCTATTATGACAATGGGATTAATGTCTCTACTAAAATTTTGTCAAAAAACTTTAGATGCCATATGGGTTAGTCCAAGAATGTGAAAATGCATGATAAACTTCGGGAAGAGCACTATTATTTCTTTATGCCCCAAAAGACATGAGGCATATAGTTCTATTACTAATGTGATGCCTTTACACAATTAGTTTCGGTGTCAAAGGTTTATTTCTTATTGATGCCTTAACATTTTTATGTAATCTTTGGAGATAGTTTAGATTTATGTCATGGTGATTTTCTTGGCATTAAAGTATTTACGAGAAAGACTGTGCACAAGAATTGTCCTAAGACTAAAGTCCTAATTTAAAAATTAAAAAAAAAATAACCTTAAGTTAATTTTTTGTGCTAACCTAATTTTGTATCAAGCTTTTTATGTGGATCTTTAAAAAAGATACTGGTTGTTTTTAAAAAAAAAATGAATAAAAAATAAGGTGGGCTGAATGAAAAGTTGTAAGCTATAGTTGTAGTTTTATATTCTTTAGTATTCAAAAGGCAAACAATCTTCCGGTTCCTACTGTGACGCTCCGAGTATATTATGATATTATATGTTTTCGTTTTATCATATTTTGACTGCTCTAGACTAAATTGAGGTATATTTGTATTCTGTGTATATGAAAGCCTCGAGTTCACCTTTTCCCCTTGAATTCAATTTATTCAATTTCTTAGGCAAGAAATTCTTGCAATGTGGGGTTGATGCAAGTGTTACTTTTATGAAGCATGGGTCAATTTGTCATGAGAATTCTTGGAAATGTGGGGGTAATATTTAAGATAATAAAAAATATATGAAGTACCTACTGAACTTTTTTAATGTTGTTGTAATCTTTCATTTGGAGAGATATTATATAAATTGTTTCATATTTAAGTGCTTTTCAGACAAATACATTTTAATGTGTTGTTTGTTAGTATTATTTGAAAGACAAGTTCAAATCACTATCAATGAGAAGATATAAAGGTGTGCACACCTAGTGAGACACGAACATGTGAAGAGTAACCATTTTGATACTTTTGAAATCTCAGCTAAACAGAGCTGACAAATGAATTAAAAACCTTTTGAGGAGCTATGAGACACAAATATATAAAAGTTGATTAATTTGTTCAGTGTGCTTTTGAGGAAAGCTTTGCTTTTGAGAAAAGTTGTCTCAAGAACTGTCTAGGGGATGTGCTTAAGCTCGTAAGGGAGTCACCTAAGGAAGTACCCAACTTCTGTGGTTAGGCCCCATGAATGAAGTTCAATGGGTAAAAATAATTCATATTGCGCGACTCATTAGCATTGTTGTTGAGAAAACATCCTAAGAGGAGGTATTTTCATGCTTATCCCTATGGCAGAGGTGCATTTGTAGTATGACGGTAAAGAAATGATTTTATCCTGAATGAGACTGAGGCAGAAACACTCCTACAAGGTATTGTGCACATGTACTATTCGAGGGCTCACTTAAGTGAGAGAAGTCGTGAGGCCGCGACTATGAGAATTGAGCTATTTTCTAAAAACACACCGTAAGAATCAAGATTAAGTGCATGACCATTAAACGCACTGGCCTGTGAATCTTGACTAATATCGATATTGTGTGTGTGATAGTTAAAACTTGGTTCAAAGGGTCTAGTTCAAACTTTGGTCACTATGATCATTCAGAGGGAGGTTGTCAACATTAAACGAGTTTAAATAAATCCGGAAGACACCTACACCTATTGTATAATATTTTAGTTGCCCTTATTTTTTGTATATTTTATATTTAAAAATTTCTCAAAGTTTTAAAAACTTGTGGGGATTGTTGGAATATATTAAAGTTTTTAAAACATTATAATTATTTTATTTTAGTTTACAACTGTTATAATTGGATACTTGAATGACAGATTCAATTTTTCCATTAATTCTTAGTTTTAATGGACTAGCTGTTACAAAGAAAAAAGTTATATAAAGAAGCCATGAGAGGCTGCCCAAGTGAGTTGTCAGTGGGGATCATTCATATTCTCTGAGCCTCAATCCCAATTAGTCATTTGCCTCCTTTGCTGTATGTTCCATCAATTTATCCTTTTATTTGACTTTTTTTTACAACCTCCTTCTTCTCAATATTCTGAAATAATAGCTTAGTATTTTTACTATCATAATTTTATGGACAACTTCGATTCGAGTCAGGCTCACCATAACCTTTTAATAGACACGACTTCTGAGGTGGTGTTGCTATAACATATCTGAGTTGGATCTTAGAGTTGCATATGTCCATTAATACCTTCACGTGAGGAGGCACAACTGTTTAAGATAGTGATTACATGTCTTGCAGGTATTACAGGTTAACTCTTTCTATTATATTACTGTTCTAATCACATGCTATAGTACATATATTTGATATGTATTTTTGTTGTTTTATGATTTTATAAATGACTCGTTAATTAATATTCATAAAATTGTGCTATTTTCCCCAACAAGTAATATAGTAACTGACTTTGCTTATCTATGACCTTAATTATGCTTGGCAGAGTACCAGGAGAAGCTTTCAACAAAAGCCTTCATGCTTCATGATCAAACTGCCAATCATGATATGATCGTGGTGGCATTCAGAGGAACCGGAGTCTTCGATGCAGATGCATGGGATGTCGACATCAATATCTCTGCGTGCAATTTTGGCCAAGGCATCGGAAGTGTCCATTGTGGTTTTATGAAAGCCTTAGGGTTACCGAAGGATGGAGAATGGGGTAAAATTGTTAAAAAAGACGATGATCGCCCGTTAGCTTACTACACCATCAGAGAAAAACTGACAGAGTTCTTCCGGGAACATCCTCGAACGAAATTCATTCTGACCGGACACAGTTTGGGGCGGCGCACTCGCAATTCTCTTTCAGCGGTGCTGGTATTGCACGAAGAGTTGGACATGTTGAAGAGGTTGGAGGCGGTGTACACATTTGGGCAGCCTAGGGTTGGAAACAAAAAGTTTGGAGAGTTCATGGAAGGAAAGTTTAAAGAGTATGGCATCGTACGGTATTTTAGCTTTGTTTTCAGTGATGATGCTATTCCAAGGCAGCCTCCGGACAACAGCTCCTTCGTGTTTAACCACTT